ATTTTAACCCAGGTGTCGTCAACATACCTGAACCAATGACTTGGTGGTGTCCCTGAAAAGGACGTCAAGGCTCTCTTTTCTACCTCCTCCATGTACAGGTTGGCAACAATAGGAGAAACTGGAGACCCCATAGCACACCCATGTTTCTGCCTATAATATTGCTCCCCATATGTGAAGTAGGTTGACTGCAGGCACAGTTTCAAGAGTTGACACAGTTGTTCTGTGGAAAGCGTGGTCCTGCTGCTTAGAGTGGTGTCTGATTTTAATTTTAAACTGACCACCTCTACTGCATCATCAACAGGAATGCACGTAAAGAGTGATGTGACATCAAAAGAGACCATTGTTTAATCAGTCTCCATGATGACATCCCTCACCTTGTCCACAAAGTCCATGGTGTTCTGTATGTGGTGTTCTGAGATGCCAACTAAAGGGATGAGTACAGACGCCAGATATTTGGAAACATTGTAAGTGACAGAGTTAATCATGCTAACAATAGGTCTTAAAGGTACACCTTGTTTGTGGATTTTAGGTAAACCATACAGACTAGGTGTGGCCTCCCCTGGGTACAGTCTGTGGTACAGAATACGGTCAATAGCCTTGTCCTGCTCCAAATTTTTCAGGCAGTCTATCAACTTCTTCTTGTAACCACTTCCTGGATCTCTTTTCAGAGGTTCATAAGTGTTTACGTCACTAAGGAGTGTCATAACTTTCTCATGATAGTCTTTCTGGTTCAAAATCACTGTGCACCTTCCTTTGTCTGCTGGGAAAATGATGATGTTTTTGTCCTTGCTAAGAGTGGTGAGTGCGTCCCTCTCCTCTCTACTGATGTTGGAAGGTGGTGGTTTGGCATTGCTGAGGCAGGCTGAAACTTTGATTCTGAGCTGTTCTGCTTCACCCCCTTTCATTTTGTTGTTGCGGATGGCTGACTCAGTAGCTGTGATCATCTCCACCAGAGGAATTCTACTTGGTGCAACCGCAAAGTTCAGTCCCCTGGCAAGAATCTCTGTCTCCTCAGACTGAGGAAGTCTCTTGGATGAGAGACGAAACGTTTCTACATTTTTTTGCTTTGTTTTGTTTTTTTTGAATGTCCAGAGGACCAGATTGAACCTTTTTGGATTTTTCTACCTGGATTATTGAGCATGCATCAGGAGATTTTGTTAAAGTTTCTTAAGTTTATTTTTTAAACTTTGGGTTGACAGTTTTAGTCAGAACACTCTTGTAAATTAGATTTTTAATCTCAATGAGTTTCTCTTTATAAAAAAGAAATGATGAAAAACAACTTGCACAAACTAATATTTGCTGTTTAAAAGAGAAAAGGTTTTAGAGTCTTAAATCAGGGCTTCATTTGTAAAACAATTGATGCCAGAACACAAACAGCAGGTGGTCGAGGGGGGGGGGGGGGGTCCGTGGGTCCTCCCCCAGAAAATTTGTAATAAAAAATGCCATTTCCTGCATTTTGGTGCATTTTAACAGTAAACATGTGTAAACAGATTTAAAACAGGTCTCTTGTAAATGAGACTAACAACCTGTTTAAATAAAGATGAACTGAAATTAATATTTTAGAGCAACAACAAGCCGAGCAGCTCCGATTCTGTTAAGCATCCCAACCTCCCCATAAACTAATTTTTGGCTGAGATATGACCATTTTCATTCATTCTGACTGAAAATATTGAATACTACTATTTTCAGCCGCTAGATGGCATTCGAGCAGTATGGCATGCCTATGTGTCATGTAATAGGTAAAAGTGGCTATTAATGACAATCGCTCGAGTGGATTGTCACTCCTGTCCTGTCCTGGTCCCACAGAAAAAAAATCCTGTCCTGTACCAATCCTGGTAACATGACTCCTGCTCCCATCCTACTCCCAGTCAGAATCACTCCCATTTTTTTCTCTTCCATTCAGTCTTTCGGAAATACATTGAATTTGATTTGATCTTCTACCCATTCCTGTTTATATTATTTTGTGTTGTGCAGTTTTATTTCAAAAGATATGGCAACAG